TGCCCACCCCCCCTGCCCACCCCTTGGCCGCGCGCGTGCGCCGGGCCGCGATCTGCGACCCCCCTCTTGGGAGCCCCCTTCTGGGGCGCCCCCGACATCCCTGCCACCGCCGCGTCGGAGAGCCCACCCTTTCCTCCGCATTCCCTTCCTCCTCTTTTCTACGTCGGGCGATCTCGAGCCGATGTGCCGTAGCGGTATCCCCCCTCCTCCTAAGATTTGAGCGAGCTCGCAGCGTCGTCCTTCCTCTACTCCCTCGCCTTGTCCTCCTCCTCCTCCTCCTCCTCCTCCTCTTCGGCCTCCTTCCAGCGGGCAGTCGGGCAGGCGATGTCGTCATGCTACGTTTGCCTCCTCCTCAGCCTCCCAAGCTTCGAGCCGAAGAGGAGGGCCACTGCAGAAAGGCAGGCGCTCGGGGGTCCGTGGGGATCTCTCTCGGGTCGACGCCGTGCACCCCCAGGCGGCGCCGCCCCCGGTTTTTGGTCCGCGCGGTATGGCCTTGTTTGGTTCAGCCGGCTGGCTGCAGATGGCATCTCGTACACTATGTCAATTTCTAAGTTTTCGAAAGTCATGTCATTTTTTGGGGGCCAAGATCCTTCCATTTAGATGTGTTTTATCCTGGGCCTCCTCCTGGCCACTAGGGGGCCAGGAACACTTAGAAACGAGCACAATTAGAAATGAGCACGGTTAGAAATGAGCGACGTGTAGCCCCTTGGTTATCTATGATGAGCGCGTCAGCGCGAAGCGCTACTATTTGCCGTGCCTTTTCTTGACCAACCAGCAGCAGCCCGATTACGTTCGCGCGAAGTTTTTTCTTCATACTTCATACGCCTCTCCTGTTGGCTCGTGGGGGCAGATGGGGGGGGGCAGCGCCGACCCAAGGAATCCGCGCGGACCTCCGAAAGTGTATGTTCATGCAGTTGTGCCGATTCTCTGCGGGCCCCAGAAAGAGTGAGAAGCATGAGCGAACACAGTGGAGAAGGGAAGAGCCTGTCATGCAGAGCCCAAGGCGCACAACAGCTTGCGAATTATGTCATGGGCGGGCGGCACGATCCCCACAGGAGGTCCCCGAGCGTTCAAGCCTTCACCCGCTTTCCTGTCCTGTAAGTTTCAAACCATGCTTCTACACAGTAGCTATGCGCCCACCATTCTGGAGATAAGGAGTTTGTGGGGGGGAGAAACAAGCATATCATTCCATGGATCTCAATATCGACCCCTCCGTCGATGTCACAACAGAGCTAAACTCTATCGATTTCACGCGATTGGTCCCACTGTCGATCTCATGATCGATGTGACGGCCGATCTAACTACCGATATCCCGATCGATCCCGCCATCGATATGACGATTGATGTCACTACCAATATCACAATCGATCTCGCTGTCGATCCCTCAATCGGTCTCATTATCGATTTCACAATGGATCCCACGATCCATCTCATTACCGATACCAGTATCGATCTCACAATCGATGTAACTATCGATCGTAATTTTGAATTCAATAGCGATCCCATCCTCGATTTCACTATCGGTCTCGCTCGCGATCACATTGTCGATCTCACCACCATCGATATCACGATCGATCCCACTATGGATCTCACAATCGATAGCACGGTCGTTCTCAGCATCGATTTTACAATCCTTTCCAACATTGATTTCTCGATTGATCTCAAGATGAATCTCACTATCGTTCCTACGATCGATTGCACGATCGATCTCACTTTCGGTCTCACGATCGATCTCACCATCGGCCTCACGGGACACCATTTGAAACCGCGCTAGGGGACATCACGGGCCACCGCAGGAAACCACGGGATACCACGGGACACCATTGGGACACCATTGGGACACCACGGCGGGACACCCCTGGCCACCGACGCCCAACTCGGGGGGGGGGGGCGGACTTTTGGCCCGGCCGCGCCCTGGCCAGAGGAGGGTTAACTCTTCTCGTCCGCCCACGCCGCACGACAAGAACAAATTGAAACCGATCTCCCGGTGGGGCCTCTCCGTTTCTTTGCGATCCCACCCCCCAAACTCAGCTTTGTCATGGTCACTGTACTCCCCAGCGGCACGAACCACCATCGCCCCAGCACACTTGTTGGCGCGACGTTTCGGGCACGTGTCTATTGTTCAGACGGGCTCTCGAGGACCTACCTGTGCCGTATTGGGACCGTCTTGCCTTGGACTCCTGTGGTGTTTTTTTTATTGCGACTTCTTGGGGCTCTCGTGGGCCCGCGTGGGGTCCTCTTGGACATCTTGGGCCGCGTGGGGGGGTTCCAGGGCCTTCACTGGGCTCGCTTGCCCTGTCTCTGTGTCCTCTGAGGCCTCTTCGGAACCATCCTGAGCCGAGAGGCATGGAACATTCAAAGCTGTTCGACACGTATACTTCAAAATGATACAATAGTGGTTAGGTTTTTTTTCCGAAGGCCCTGTTGGCCTACTCTGTGGTGCATCGGAAGCTTTTTGGGGCCCCTTGTCCACCACCACTACCCATAGGCAGGAGAGGGAGGAAGAGAAGGAGGAGGAGGAGGAGGAGAAGGAGGAGGAGAAGGAGGAGGAGGAGGAGTGGGAGGAGGAGGAGGAGGAGGGGCAACTTGGGTCTTCTTGGGCGTGGCTGGGTGCCTCTCGAGGCAATTGTTGGGCCACCTGGCGGCAATTTGTAGCCCCAAGGGGGGCGTGGAGCCGCCCAGAGGGAGCCTCGGGACGGGAGGGCGGTGAACGCACTATACCAGAGCGCGTCGATATTTGGGGGGCCCCTGACCTGACTCGAAGAGACCTATGGACGTTCTGGGGGCTCAAGGGTGCCCTCGTGCCCTGTGCCTCGCGACCCATGCTTCTACATTCATATGGCAGCGTGGCCCTCGGAAGAGTCTCGTGTCCTCTCGCGTATCCTCTTCAAGCCACCCCGACTAGTAATCCGCGCGCTGAAGGTTACTCTTGCCTACAGTGGAGGCCCAGGCCAAGAAACACCCTGCTTGCCTCCAGGGTGCCCCGGGTTTCTTGGGGTTCGATCGTTTTGCAATGGAAAGCGTAACGTTCCCACACCGAACATGGATGGACGTTCTGGGGTCTCAGGATTGGGTTTCTTGTGGAAGGTGTCTTGTGGTCGGACCCCCACTGTAGGGTCACTCTTGGGTGTAGCCGATTCGCTTCCTCGTGAAACGGAGGAGTGCCAGTTGAGACAACGGCGGCGCCCCCACCCGGCCCCGCTCCGCTGAAAAAGTCCCGACCCCGGACCCCTCCCAGGGTCCCGCAGTGGCGTTGTGGTGTTCCAACCTACTTCAGCCTTGAGCACCATAAAGAATGTCGAACACCAGGGGAGTACCCAAATCGGATGGCTTTTTCACGCGTCCGGCCCTGGGAGGCGATACTCGCTCGACACCGTTTCGATACTGTTCGGGGTGCTCGACATTATTGCTGAGATGTGGTCCTTAAGTGCGATCGGAGCAACATAACACCAGAGTGCGTCGAGATCGGGGGTCCCTGACATGACTTGAAGAAGCCCCATCAAACAGCTCGTTTGGGTCCTCACTTGTCATGTCTACCAAGTTAGTTGAGAATCCCGAGAGTTATACTTGCGCTCCGTCGGATGTAATTCCGAGCTCTTGCACGGCTCGTTCGAGGCCAGATGGTTATTGTTCATGTTGCTTGCGACAGACCCCGCCACCGTGCCAGCGCAGCATCGCAGCAGGAAAGAGGCTAAGTGTACTCCCTCCTCCAGCGCAGTGCTCTGTTTGAACATGCTCGGGTCTTGGATACCCCCTCCTTATCCGCAGCATCGTTCTGTTTCTCCTTCATCATGCCTCCTCCTCCTCCTCTTTCACATCCCCCTCCTCCCTTTTCATGCTGGAGGCTTATTGGAGGGCTCGTCGTTGAGCTTTTGGGGGGCAGATGGGGCCTTCTTGGGAGACCATTGGGGGCCCGTTGGAGGGCCTGCCAGCGCAGCAGCGCAGTCAGAGGGATGCCGAGTTTTAGATCCGCGCCAGTTCAGCGCGCGTGCCGAACTGGCGCGAGTCGTGAGCTCGACCTCGCTTCCACTTTGCCACCAGGGCCAGGTTGGGAACCCATGGGCCATGGGTAGCTGAGGACAGGAGGCACAGAGAAAGGACGATGGAAGGAACGCGTGGAGGTGGAATTCAAGCCTCGCGCAAGTTCAGACTGGGCTGTGCATTGGTGTGCGTCTCGAGGAAGGACGGCGAGCAGGGGGGGCGACGGTGCGGGTCCCGTTCCAGTTCAGGATCTTGTCCGAATTCGCGCGGGTCGTGGACGCCCCCTTACCGTCCGTAGTTTCGGGTTCTTCCTTTTCCCCCTCATCTCGAGGTCGAATCTTGCGCGGGTCTTCCCAAGTTGGCTTCTTTCCTCTTCCTGCCCCCCTCCCCCTGAGAGGAGAAGGAGAAGCTGGGTTCCTCTGCGTGGGAGTCTCTGTGTCCTTCTCATCCTGCGTCTCTAATCCCTCTCCCCTCCCGCTCCCTAGCTCAATTGTGGTCAGACAATATGGATCATGGGAAGCTCAAGGGAAGAGGAGCCAGAACGCGCGGCCACCTTTCTTCCGACGCACAGCATGCATCGCGATCGAATGCTCAGGCGTGCGGTCCTCACCTAGAGCTCGAGCGCGAAGCGTGCGCGATGGTTCTAGAATGCGCCAAGGCCCAATGCATGCCAGCACGTCCACTTCACATCGCACGAATGGTTCTTGCGAAGCCAGTTGGCAATGTGTTGGACAATCATACCACGCAGTCGTAGAGAAGGTTGTGGATTGCACTTGCCCCACAGCGCGTTGCGTGCATTTGTACGTTGCCCTTGGGCTCATCCCGTCCAACTTTGTTGGCGGAGCAGTGCGGGCCTTCGCGGACATTCTACAGGTCACAGATCTATGTACGTAAATTGTTCAACATTTTCAGACATTTGTATACATGCGATTTCTTATAGGTCTTCGATGCGCCAATCGAAACGTAGTTCTGCGACTAGTGTGATTAGTATGCGTTATTGTGCGCACGCTGCCATTTCATCAAGCGATCATCCAGCGGGTGGGCGCTGCCAATACCAGCAGTCATCAGAATGACCGCAGCCGGTGCCATGGCTGTGGTCTTAGCTCTTGCCTTCCTTGCGAGTGCAGTCGAGGTTTGCTTATCTGTGTTGTGTCTCCCACCCGATCCTGCTATTCACCCTTCTCTGTTCATTTTGTGACTGTGTCAGTCGAAGCACGTTTTCACTTGCAGGACGAGTCAATGAGAGGCGTTTCAGGCAATATGTGGACAAGTTCCATAAGATGTCACCGATTGTCGGAGAAGAGTGTTTCCTTTTTTCTCGGAACACATCCGCATCCATTCAGATAGGATGGAGGTTGACACGGATCTCGTTTTGGATTTCTTCGTGGTTGTTTCCCAAACCATGCTAGTACTGAGGAGCCCCTATTTCCTTTCTAGTGATTGGTTGGCCTTTCCAGGTTTGCCCTGGTACCCACCGGTGGGCACTTTGTGGGCACCCAATGTCGGCGGACATTTCAGGGCTCTCGCCCGTTGCCCACCCACGAGCGCCTCGCGAGCTCCCCCGTGCGTTGCCTGGCATCTCAAGAGTGTATTGCCCGGCGCCCGTTTCGAAGCTTCTCGAGCGGGGCGCGGCCAACGAAAGTGGCCAAGGATGGACCGAGGAGGCAAGGGTGGAAGGGGTACCCTTGGGAAGGTTGCCCGTCCTTACAATGTGGGTCGACTGTAGGCCGTGTGGCGCGCACGTGAGCAAGGGAAGGGAATTAGCGAGAGCGGCTGTAGTCTCGCGCCGTGTTCTTCCACAGACGCTGGCCGGCATGGCAGCAACCCCTGAAACATTGATAGCTCTTTTTGCACATGCATGCACAGCGCGTCTACGCTTAAGTCAGGCATGTCCCTCTACGGGGGGGAAGCTTCGAGAATGCTCAGAGAATAGTCTGGGGACTAGTTTTTCCATTATGGTTCGACTATGTTTGAGTTTGTGGTGACTTTTTGAAACTTGTTCTTCCAAAATCCGCCTGTAGAGGGACATGCCCGACCGAAATCTGGGCACCTCGCGTGAGCCCACGTCTGTCTGTGGGGCGGCCGCGCCTGCGCGACTGGAGGAGGATCTCGAAGTCCCACGCTCTTCCAGGGAGGAGGGCGAGGGCCAAAATCGCTGGTAGGGCAGCCCGCGCGGGAGGGGGAGCAGAGGGTTTCCTCGCCTTCTCCTCGTCCTCCCTCGTCCCCCCCCCCCTCCACTCATCCCCCTCTCCCCCCTCCTCTTTCTCCGCCTCCTCCTCCTCCTCCTGCTCACCCTCCTCCTCCTCCTCCTCCTCTTCCCCCTTCTTCAGAAGGAGGGCGACGATGAAGCTGACGCCGACGTCGGCGACGACGGCGGCGAGGTGCACGACGACGACGCCGACCTTTGACGACGTGGACGCCGACGACGACGAAGTCGACGACGACGTGGACGTCGACGACGACGACGACGACGGCGGCGGCAGCGGGCCCCCCCCTGGGGCGCCGAGGCATCCCCGCGCCTCGCGCGGCGGCACGGCGGCGCGGCCTCATTCGGTGGGCCCTCCCCGCCTCGGGGCCGCCCGCTCGCCGCCCGAGCCCGGGCTTGCGCAGCGGGGGTCAGTGAAGCAGTGGCGAAGCGTCCCTTGGCTTGCCGATCGGCCCACCAAAGAATGGTCTGAGAAGCATTCGTGGTCTGCACAACGTGTGCTCAGAACATGTCTGGCCGAGACTGTTCTGGTTGTCTAAGAACAATGCTCTCGTTCTTCGAACATGCTTGGGTTCTAACAGTGCCGGGACGGTCAGTCCCTGCTCAAGTTAGAGGGGGCCAGCGCCTTTTCGGTACGAGCGGAGTTGGTACGGAGAGAAGGGGCATGTAGCTCGGAGAAGAAAACAAACGCCATAGAAATAAATTGCTGGCGCTCCGCGCGGACCTCCACAAGTTCATGTGTTTGCCATTGCTTCTTCCTCTGTGTGTAGCACCCCATAGTTGCGGATGAGATTGGGGGGGCGGGCGCGGGGTGGGTCGCGGCTGGATCGCGGCGGGATCGCGGATGGGTCGCGGATGGGTCGCGGGGTGGGTCGCGGGGTGGATCGCAGGTGGGTCGCGGGCAGGTCGCGGGTGGGTCGCGGATGGGTCGCGGATGGGTCGCAGTACGATGACGGACACCAGTTTTTGTCCATTTTGAGCGGGACTCGCTGTCGGCGTTGCCGCGGGCCGTGTCAGCTTGAGGCAGGAGGCTGCTTGCCCACAGGGGCCGCTGACGGTTTGGAACAGGATTTTCTGTCGGGCATCGTACCTTTTTGTCCGTATCCACTTCGGGCGTTCAAGTCAACGGCGGCCACGTGTTCGAACGTGTTCGGGGCGCACGTGTTCGGGAGATTCCAGAAGTTGCCGGAGAGTTTCAGGAGCCAGGGTGGTTTCCATGGGTTGGGCCGCGGTGATTTCGAGGTTGCGGGGATGACGGGATCTTCCTGAACGGCCAATGAGGCCAGAGTCGAGGAACAAGTCGTCGGGTTTGAACAAGCATTGCTGCCGGTTTTGAACAAACACAACAAATATGTGGCCGCGTCGTTATCGTCGACCTCGTTGCGAAGTTGGATCGAGCTCTGAGGTTGTTTGACAAGCCTCGGGCCTCCACGAGGGCTCGTCGCCGCCACGGGGCTCGCCTCGCAATTAGCTTGTCGGACCGCAACCCAGGACAGACAGGTCCAGGGGCCGATTCTTGATGGGCTTCGTCGTCGTCGTCGTCGGGAAGAGTCCTACTCGTTGTGTACTCGTCATCCTCCCCCACCTCCTCTTTTCCTCCCCTTCTACCTTTTAGAGTCACAGCCAGCACCGATGATAAGTTCGGGTACCCTTCGCAATGGTATCCTTGCAGTCTTGCCTCTTCAGTCCATCCTGAACCACTTTCGATGGCCAGCCCCGCTCGAAAAGCTTCGACATCTGCGTCCAAGCGGCTTGCATCCTTCTCGCGCACCCTTACTATCAAGTTTGACTGTACTCCCATCTCTCCCTTGATACGGTCCAGTGCGAGGGCCGCCTCTCCCTACATCGTTGATTCGATCGGGATCTTTCTGGTCCTTCAAGGCGCTGCGCTCCCGCTGCACCGCTGGCCACTTTTGAGGATCGGCGCGTTGCTCCCGTCGTTCGCAATGGCGCTTTTTCACCAACGCGGGCCAAATTTCTCGGTCCGAGTCCTTTCCTCCTCGTTGTCGTCGTCCTCATCCTCCTCCTCCTCCTCCCCCTCCTCCTCCTCCTCCTCCTCCTCCTCCTCCTCCTCCTCCTCCTCCTCCTCCTCCTCCTCCTCCTCCTCCTCCTCCTCCTCCTCCTCCTCCTCCTCCCTCCCCCTCCTCCTCCTCCTCCTCCTCCTCCTCCTCCTCCTCCTCCTCCTCCTCCTTCTGCCTCCCCCTCCTCGTGGGCTGCTGGGCGGCCCCGGCGACCGGCCGTGTTCTTCCCCGGAGCAGCCCGTGCACGTGAGCGACGCAAACCAAAACGGGGCCTTCTACGCCGACGTTGGCGCGCTGGGTGCCCGCGTAGGCCGCCGCGTAAGGTCGCTACGTCATCTCGCGTACGACGCCTTTGTTTCGTCGCTCGCGTGGTTTCTGTGATCGTGCTTGCGCGTGGTCGTGGTGCTCATGGGTGCCCGCATACTAGCGATGGCGGATCGGGGGCGTCCACGAGGGGGTGAGGACCAGGGGGGGGTCATCGACCGTGCCACGGTATCTCTCAGATGTCATAGCCCCCTCTCTTATCTTCTTCTCTTGGTGCATCCACTTAACCCCGCTCACCCGCGCACTCGTGCGCCGCTTAACCCCCACTTCCTGGACTCCCTCCTCGGCCCACCCAAACGGAGGATGCAAAGCAGAATCCAGACATCCTTGCGGCGTCGGCAACAATCACAAGGGAAGATAGCTGGCGATTTCCAGCCTATGGGATATTGGGCCCCGTGACCACGACAAACTAACCAGAATGAAAGCGGGTCCTGGGAATGAGGAGAAGAAGATTGGAGGAAGCGCAGAGGAGGAGGAGGAGGACCATGTCTTGTTTGTGCCCGTGCCTGCGTATGTCTGTGTATGTTGTACGTGTGTCTGCACACGTGCATCTGATTATGCGTTTGCCTGCGCCGACGTCCCTGCCAGTGCATGTGCCTGTGCGAATGCCGATGCATATGGTAATTGTGCATGTGCCTGCGCGCACGCCTACAGTAATATTTATGCTGATAGCCTGTGCCAAGTGCAAAGGTCCATGCCTGCACTCGCATGCGAAATACCCGCAAATAGCTTGATCATAAAAACCTTATTCTCGTTCGCAACGAATCGGTTACGCGCACCGCCTGGTGGCCGCCATGGCAGGGTCAACCACGAGCATGGACCTGGCACGCATATGCGTACCGTCCTGCTTGTTATAATGTTTTGGTGTGTATGTGTATGGCAACTTTCCCCCCCCCCTGGTGGTTGCCGTCCCTTTTCTTCCACACACGCGACGTGTTCTCCCTCGGCCCACCTTACAGTTTAAGCAACCGGTCCCCTGCACAGGCTGGTTAGGGTAGCCCCTTTCCATTGCCGGTCTACTCATCGGTTGTTTCATCCACACAGTTGGGTGCACTTAGTTTTGACCATTCCCGTGCGTATTGACTCCCCACTGTAGTGCCGCATCGTTAGATCAGGAAATGCGTGGCAATTGTCAGTGTTACGCTTGCGTCGGTTTCAGTGTATAGTTTTGCGTGTGCTCATGAGTGACGTTTCCAAAGACACATTGGCATCGGAGACGCAACCAGGAACATGGAGGAAATTACACAAGGTAGCGGGCAGTGAAGAATTGGGCAATGTGTGAGGAGGCAGATGTTGTGAGCAAATGGTCTTGGTAAACAGCACAGGGTACCGTGAATGGACCACATGACCAGTTGAGGGATGCTTGGGGCACACTGAGACATGACTATGCAGTGCCAGTGTATTGGATAAGAACGAGAAGTATGGTCTAACAAGGCAATGGGCAGATGCACAATTAAGTTGTCCATAATGGGTGTGGACTGCGTTATATGGAATAGCGTGGTAGGGGACTGGGAGCAGCGCGTAAGGAACACTGCGTGAGGATGAGACGACGTAGAACACAAGCGACTACAGCCGCAATCTCAATAATGCGAAACAGTGATCACAGTTGCGCGGTCGACAATTTTCTGCGTCATGGGTGTCATTGGCAGCGCGTACCATTGGCTTTGTGGTTTACACTGTGACAGTCGTGGCCCGTCTCGTTTACGTCAAGGTCTGCGGTGGGTGCAGATTTGTGAGTGACGCATCCACGACGCGGCTTTCCTGTCTGAGAGAAGCCCGCGCGATGTCGAGGGCTGCTGGCTGCTGGGGCGGCGCTGGCGCTGCTTGCCGGCAGCCCACGCCAGAGCGTCGTCGAGCCGCTTGCAGCTTTCACCCTGGCGCGGGGGTGGGGGGTAGGGCTCGACCTGAACGCTGTGTTGCTGGACCTCGGCTGGGTTTTCTTTCTCACCAGAAAACAGGTACGCTCAGGTCCAGCCCTGGTGCTGGGGAGCGGCCAACTCGGGTGTTGCCAGGCCAGGGGAGCCGAGCCACTCCCTGGAGGACGCGCGTTTTGCTTCGGCCAGGTCCTGGCCTCGACGCGGAGCCACAGTCGGCTGTGCATGCGCGCAGGCATCGGAAGCAGAGCAGATGCGTCGAGGGGAGATGAGGAGGAGGAAGAAGGAGGGGGATGAAGATGATAAGGAGGAGGAGTAGGAGGACGAGAAGGAGGAGGAGGAGGAGGAGGAGGAGGAAGAGGAGAAGGGGGGGACGAGGGAGGAAAGGTAAGAGTAAGGAGCAGTTAGGAAGGAGGGGCGGGAGAAAGAGAGAGAGGGCGAGGGACTGAAACGCAGCGCAGCGGAGAGAGTGAGGGAGGTGAGGGGAGCGGAGCGGTGAGCGTGAGGGCACGACCTGCGATCATCATGTGATCGTTTTCTTACTCATTGGTTTGCCGATAGGCGCGGGCCCTCGCACCCCCCGCCCACCCACCCAAAACATGGAGTGAATCTGGGCTGTTTTTGACGCGTGTTTCAGGCAGGCGGAGTCTCCCCCATGGGGCGCACTGTTGCAAACAGTCGCATTCAGCAGAGGTCCAGAGCCAGACCCCACCCCTCCCCCCCTTCCGCCCAATGTCGAAACGCCGAGTAAGAGAACGCTTACCATTGTGTCTCTCCCACTGATAGATATTGTGTTCCACCCTTTCCGTGCGTCCTCCTGTTTCTCTCTCGTCGTCGCCCTGTCTTGTTTCTGTTGGTCTGAATGTTCAGTGTACCTTCTCGTCCTTCTGCCCGTCTGACCTTTCCCCAACCTTCCAGGAGCCGACAGGGAACAGCGGGGCAGCAGGGCGAGCCAGGAAAAGCAGATGCGTGGGCAGGTTCGGCTACCCCCCACCCTTTCCGTGGCGCAAACATTGCAGAGCGGATTTTGCTAGGAAAACAAAGGGATGGGCCCGGATTGTCATGGAGAATTGCGTTCCGGTTTTCGATGCTAATTTCGCGCGGGTTCTTTTTGGTGGCTTGAAGTGAAGACTACAAAACATCCACGTGAAATGTACTTCGTTTTTCGCTCGCTGTTTCGGGGTTTCGATTTGGCAGAACTCCACGCAAAAATCCGCTGCAGCACGTCTGCAAGGTCGGTGCAGTGACACTTTGCTACCCTCTTGATGTTCCAACCCGCTTTAGCCTTGACCACCAGAGATAATTGCGAGTACCAAGCACTCACCGACACTGGAGGGTGTTCACGTGTCGAGCCATGCGAGGCGATGCTCGTTCGACACTCCGCTGGCGTGCCGGGCAGTTTCCCTGGGTGCTCGAGATTACTTCTGGGACGTAGTCCTCGAGTACAATGGGAACACCATCCGAAGAAGAACATCCGCCATAATCACAAACGTTTGGCGCTCCGCGCGGGTTTCTTGGATCTGCGCTAGACCCCCCTCCCTGGCGCGCGCAGCGCGCCAGGGGCGGCGCCGGAGGCGCCGCCGCGAGAGGGGCAGCGCAGATCCAAGAAATCCGCGCGGAGCGCCAAAAGCTAATGATTATGGCGTTTTTTTCTTTTTCTAGTAATGCTACCCCCCCTCCTCCTCCCCCTCCTCCTCCCCCTCCTCCTCCTCCCCCTCCTCCTCCTCCTCCTCCTCCTCCCCCCCCTCCCTTTCGCCCGACCCGATCAGACCCCCCCTCCTCCCTCCTCCTCCTCCCTCCTCCTCCTCCTCCTCCCTCCTCCTCTCCTCCTCCTCCTCCTCCTGCCTCTCCTCCTGCTCCTCCTCCTCCTCGTCCCCCCCCCCCCGCAGCGCGCTCCTCCTTCCCCCACATCCCGCGCGCGCGGACCGCCGGGCAGGCTGGCAAGGCGGACGCGGCGGGCCTGCGGCTGCCAGGGGGCGCGTCCAAAGCAACGCACTGCCTCGGGGCGCAACGAAAAGCACACATCGGTCCTTGAATCAAGGGAGGAAAGACCACCCGGACCCGACAATGTTGGTTTGCTGAACGTCCTTGGGCGTTTACAAAACAGCCCTGCCCTGGTTACTTCCTTCTTTGGGCGCGTTTGCTAAACGACTTCGCGTGTCGGGGTGGTTATTATGGGAGTGGATGTTTTGACCCCCATTGAAGCATGTGTTTTTTTCGAAGAAGAAAACGCCATGCGCTGGGCCCGGATTTCTCGGATTTGCGCTGGGCTCCCCCGGCGGCGTCTCTGGCGCCGCCCTTGGCGCGCTCCGCGCGCTAGGGAGGGGGGCCCAGCGCAGATCTAAGAAATCCGCGCGGAGCGCCAAAAGTTCATGTTTATGGTGCGTTTTCTTTCTCTGATTCTGGGGCTCCCAGATTCCAATCTGCTTCAAGCGCCCTCCTGCCTCAAGGACAGATGTGCTCCTGCTGTGCTTGATTATTCTCCGGGCCTGCCTGGACCCCAATCTATTTTATCCGCTTGCCTGTTTCATGGTGTGTCGTATGTACTTTCCCCTGAGCGGCCCTCGCCCCCTCCTCCCCCCTCCCTTGCGGCCGCCCGCCCTCCCTTCTTCCCCCTCTCTTGCGTGTTGGCACGATTCGCCACAAGGGTGCCCCCGTGTAGTTGGCTCATCCGCCAGCGCAGTCGACGACCATCTGCCTAGCCTTAGGTCGGGCCTGTCCCTCTATACAAGAGGAAACTACGAGAAAACCATCAAAAATGTTATGGGGACGAGTTTTCGATGTTTTTCATTATTTTTGAATGTTTTTGTTAACAACTCTGTTCACTTGTCGTTCCCAAATCCGCCTGTAGGGGGACACGCCCGACCTAAGCCTAGCCGCCGACACAAAAAGTTGTGTCCCACCTCCTCCTACCGACGTGCACAGGCCGCTCGTGGAAGGCACTGTGCCTCTCGAGGCCGCCCGCGGGGGCGCGAGGAGGCTTGCGCCTCGCGGTCAGGCCAGAGCGGCGGCCGCCCTTCTCCGGGGGGCGCAAGGCGCGGGGGCGCGAAGAGGATCGCGCACTGCGGGGTGGGATGCGCGAAGCTGAGTGGCTTACCTCGAAGAAGAAAGAAACCCAAAAAGCGCTCCGCCCGTATCTCTTGGATCCGCGCCTGGGCCCCCTGGCGGCGCCTCCAGCGCTGCCCCTGCCGCGCTCGGCGCGCCAGGAAGGGGGGTCCGGCGCGGATCCGAGGAGTCCGCGCGGAGCGCCAACAGTCTGTGATTATGGCGGCTTTTGCTTTTTCTACTACCCAGACATGATCGCGTCTTGAGAAAATCGGGACGGGAGGTTTTTGGCCGTTTTCAGCCCTGGGGGCACTCGCTGGGCCTCGGGACTGTCAAAGAACGGTTCGGGATGAAAAACCGGTCCCGGGGAAAGGCTCGGGAATTGCAGGGGCCCCGTATTGAAAAAATGAGGACGTCACATGTCTGGGTGGCTGTCTTTGGATCCCCAGGTTCGATCTACTCTGAGGGCCTTCCTATTTCACCTGTTCGACGGGGCTCTCGTTCTGCCTTTTCTCTTGCACGGGAGCCGGCAGAAGCCCGTCCTGCTCTTGACGCCTTGCTTTGTGGAGGACGATCGCTAGAGAGGAAGCATGCTGCCAAAGCATTTCCAGATGTCTAACACATGTTTCAAACATGTCTGGACCATGGAAAAACATGTGTTCAACCTGTTCAAAAACAAGCAAATTCTACATTCAATTTAAGTTCAAGGATAAGGACTGTTAGGGTGTCCACTGTCATGTCATCCGCAAGCCTTGCTGCTTCATGCTTCTGCCTGCGTGCTCCTGCCGAGCGGCCTGTCTGCACCCTCGCCGGCTCGGACAGGGCGTGCCTTGGGCCCGAGAGCCGGCGCCCCGTGCCCTCCTTGTCGGGTGTCACTCCAGGGGGGGTCAAGTTATGATTTTTCCCTGGTCCGAATTTTTGGCTTAATCTGGCTTCTTCCCGCTCGATGCCGCTTAATCCTGTCTTATCCGGCTCAAACCCCTCTCGTCCGCGGCCGACTCTGGCGCAGTAGCCCCCGAATGGGTCAGAAATCCTCTTGGTTCCTTCCGACGAAGGCCTCCCAGTAGTTGCCCCCTAATAGCTCTTTGCCGAGCCGGCGAGGGCGTGTTATCCACGCCAGTCTTGGGCCCAGGGGGCGCGCCCTCGTCGTCGTCGTCGTCGTCGTCGTCGTCGTCGTCGTCGTCGTCGTCGTCGTCGTCGTCGTCTTCGTCGTCGTCGTCGTGGTCGTCGTCGTCGTCGTCGGCGGCGAACTCCCACTTCCGAAGGCCCGGTTTGCGCCCACGCAGGCTGTTCTCGGCGGAAGACGTGGGCGCCAGCCGGGTGGCGATGCGGAACTCTGGCAGGCACCACCATCGGGGAGGCTACCAGAAGGGAACGGGCTCGAGGACGATGAAGCGTTTCAAGGACTGGGCGGCCATGGGATCCCGCTGCTTCTGCAGGAGGAGGGCCACGACGACGAGCGGGACGACGAGGGCGGCACGAGGTCGGGCGGGGCTAGGACGAGGATAAATCCGCTCCTGAGCGCTCCGAACGCCCTCGGAGCGTTCCGGAACGCTCCGAGAAGGCCGCGGCGCCCGAGACATCCTCCAGAGCCGCCAGGTCTCAGCGGTTCCTGATTTCTCTGCGCCCGATTTGATCCTCGCCCTGGCTTTGTCTTACGAGGAGATGCAAGGGGAGATGGAGGAGGCAGGGGCAAAGGCGAAGGCGGTGGCGGAGCAGGGGGGCCTTGGCGAGCGGGAGGGCCGGGCCAGTAGGGGGCACCGAGGGCACAGCGGCCGGGGGTGGAGGGAGGTGCACGCGGGGCAGGCGTTGATGCAGGGGCGGTGATTAACTACGTGAGGGGCAAAGGTCACCACGAAGGGTCTTTAATGATGGGGACCCCCCCAAGCTCTCGGCGGGGATTAAAAAACTCGTCCCTCCTTCTCCTTCCCATCCCTCCTCCTTCTCCTCCCTCCTCCTCCTCCTCCTCCTCCTCCTCCTCCTCCTCCTCCTCCTCATCCTCCCCCTTCCTCCTCCTTGCAGCCGTAGCCATTTTGGCTGAAGTTGCCATTTGTCAAGGCAGCTGGCCAGGACAGCTTGTGTGGCCACTGGAGGGGCAGCCCAGGTCAGGCTCCTCCGTGGCCCTTTTCTGCGAAGTTTGTGAGCTCCTGCTGGAGCACTTCCACGATTCCGTGCGTTCCGTTCATCTCGCCATGCCTTGGCGGTCCTGGCACCGTCAGGCGCCGTGGCGGAAGGGGCGGCGCAAGCAGTATGGCGGCGAATACGACGTGTGCAGCGTCTGCTCGCACTGGGAGTTCAAGTTCTACGGCAATGCGTGCTGCACGGTGTGTGGCGGTGCATACTACCCTCGGCTTCCTGCTGGCGCTGGTGTTCCTGGCGCTGGATGTGGCCAGCGTGATGTGGGGCAGCCTGGTGCTCCACCTGCTGATCAATTTGATGCTCTTCGTGCTGCGGCGGCCCTCCTGGTGGCAGCCCAACCTGATCTACGTGGTGGATTGGCGGTTTTCATCCAGGCTCCGCCGCCCGCTGCTGTCCCATGGACGGCCTCCCAGCTGGCAAGTGCGGCTTTCGCGGAGCGTACTCGGCTGGTTCGGGTGGCGGAGGACGCTGCCAAGGCCGTCAGGCTTGCCAATCAAGATCTGCAGCAGAAGAAGTCGAAGTGCACAATGCTCGAGGAGCAGTTGTGTGAGGTCCGTGCTGGTCTCGAGCAGTGTCGTGAAGCTGTTCGATTGGCTGAAATGCGCAAGCTGGCGGCTGATGAGGAAGCTGGCCAGTTCGATGAGGACGCGTGGGCGGAGAAGAAGAAAATTGAGCAGAGGCAGGCGGAGGTGGACGCTCGCGCTGCTCAAGATGCTCAGCGTGGCCCGGCACCTGGGGCTGCTCGCGGAGCCCCACCAGTCGCGGCTGGCGCGGAAGGTGCTCCTGCGCGACTTGAAGGTGTTGGCGTGCAAGATGCGGCTCCTGCTGGTCCGCAAGTACCTGGTCTTACTCCCATGGGGCTGGTCGACTTCGGCTGGGTCGAGCAGCACCTGCACACCCTCGAGGAGCAGGATCTCGCCCGCTTCGAAGGGCGGTCCGCGGTCAACATGGAGCAGTGGCGCAACCTGCTCCTGTAGATGTCGGAGCAACGTCAGCATGGAGAAGTGGCGCAAGTGGAGCAGAAGGCGGATATCCCCATGGAGTTCGATGATGAAATCAGCGATGCTGGCACTGAAGTTTCTGATGTGGGTGAACTGCGTGATCTACGCAAACGTGCTGCAGAGCAAGGACTGTGGCCTGAAGACTCCAGGAAGTATGGTGAGTTGCTCCAGGCCGCCGCCACTGCCCGTGCAGGCAAGCGTGCTCGCAAGGCAGTCCAGCTGCGGATGGCCTCTGCAAACCTTTTTGGCACCTTTTGTAGCGCAGCGGCCTCCCAGCTCCAGTCCATTCCCCCGAGCGCTGGAGGCGCATCGGGGAGCGCATCGCAGCTTTAGCAAGCGCGTGCCCGCCGAGTGGCGGCGGGCCAGGAAGAAGCGTGAGAAAATCAAGGTTTGCTTTGCGAATGGTACATCCTGGTCTGTTCTCGCGAAGTCCTACGTGTCGCAGTCTGTGTCCGGGGTTGATGGCTTCCTTCTCGCTGATCACCATGCGCGGGCTTCAGCCCTGGGCAATGCAAAGAAGGATGCGCGTGCTATGGGGCGGGCCCCGCATTTCCAGGCTACTCTCGATTCCCTTGGGGGAGGTACTCATGGTGGGGCGGCTTTCCTGGCGCAGAAAGGTTTAGCGTTTCAGAAGTTCCTGACTCAGTGCTCTGGGATCAATCGGGTTGGCTGCGGGGCCTGCTGGCTTTTCCTGGAACTGAAGTTAGGCGGGTACTTTATCGCGATAGGTGTCTGCTATTTGGTGGCCTCCATCGGCATGGCTGGTGAGAATATGAATCGCATGCGCGATATATGTCTGTTTGTTAGGACCCTGGCGGTCCCCTGGGTCATCCTGGGCGATTTCAATAAAGATCCTCAAGGGTTGGCTGATTCTGGGTGGTTTGAGTTGACTCGATCCTGCCCCTTGGTTCCAAAAAGCGTGGATTTTACTTGTGACGCGGGTGAGGCGATGATCGATTTCTTGGTATGTTCCAGAGGTGTGTATCGCGCCATTGATTTAAAGGCAGTCTTGACGGCCCCATTGAAGACGCATGCATGCTTGCTGGCTGAGATCGGCGCCGATGTCCTTAGCATGGAGGCCACCAGGCGCGTGAAGTGTCGCGATATCCCTCGTGTTGTTGGCCCTGATCATGTCTGGCCGCACTATTGTAACATGGCGCTTAAGGATGACCCGCAGGTTCTGATTCCTGGCGATGTGTCTGGCGCGTTTCCCATGCATACCTCGGAAGTCCCCTCTCGAGTAAGCGTACCTTGGAGTGGAAGAGCCTGCTCAATCGTTTGTCTAATGATGTTTACGTATTTATTGAACCCTTGGATGAGCCTGGAGATGCTACCTGGTGGTCTGGGGCCCTGGCTGGCGACTTGAGTGTCCTTGATAGCGTTCATGACATGGTTGACAAGGCCACGCATATTTGTAGCATGGCGCGGGCTGAAGCTCGTTCCGGCACGGGAGCCGGCATCCGCGAGTGGCTTCGCGCTTGTCTCCCTGGTGGCGCTCCCAAGTTGCACTGGTGGTTGAAGGCCAATGGTCGGGTCGCGGTCCAGTTCTTCAAAGGCTTTCAAGATGTTGTGCAGAATCCCAAAGATATGATGGAGCACCGCGGGCACTTTTGGGGAGATTGGTGGACCCCTGATAATGTGCGGCGCCGTTTGCTGGAAGAGTCTCTCGGAGAGTTGCGGGCTTCTGCGCAACTTGCGGCCGTGGAGGCCCCTGACCTTGAGTTGAGAGATCTAGTGCAAGCATGCCATTGTTTTTTCTACTACGACGGCATTTGGAGTTGATCAGTGGTCTCCTCGCGTTCGGCTGTCTTTGCCTCGGCATGCGCTGGGCGGGGCCCTCCAGATCTTCCGACACGTTGAGGAGGAGCTGGCGTTCCCATCACAATGCTTGTTGAATATCATGGTCATGTTGCCTAAGACTGAGTGCGATGAACGTGCAGTGTCTAAGCGTCCTACATGTTACAGAGTGCATGCTCGGATGCCTGGTGGCATGATTGATGATTGTAACCGTCAGCAAATCGATTTTTGGGACTGTGCAGTCCGAGGTTCGTCGGCACTTCAGAGCGCCCTGTTACGCGCCCTGTGCTTCGAGGTGGCCGGCAATCAGTCTTTTGAACCGTTGGCCGTCCACTGGGACATGGAAAAGTTGTTCGACAGCGTGGTTGTCTCCATGCTTGTGCAACTGGCTTTGAAGCTAGAGTATCCTCCGATGTTGTTGTACGTGGGGATGCTTGTGCATTCCCTTCCTCGTGTTTTGGAAGTTGAAGTATGTTGTCCTAGATTATCCCCACAGGTAATTCTATCATTGCTGGTTGTACCCAATCTTTGCCTTGGGTGAAAGCCTTGTTGCATGATGTGTTGCACCGTGCGCAGCACCGCCTTCCGCATGTTCCCGCGCAGTCGTATGTGGATAACACCACGCAGGTTGCGCTTGGCACGAGTAAGTATATCATGAGTGTGGCACCGTCTGCTGTGCTCTAATTCTTTCGTGACGTCACGGCATGCGGGTGCAAGGTCCCCACGAAGAGTGAAGTCGCGGCATCCTCTGCGCCCCTGCAGCGTGCTGTAGTTGATGAGTTCAAGCGGATGGATATCCCTGTTCGTGCATCCGAGGCTATGAAGGACCTTGGAGTGGCGTCGACGGCTGGGAGGAGAAGGTGCGCGTGGAAGGTTAGATTGAGGAGGAGGACGGCGTTCAGGAGAGCTAGGAGGTTGCAGTATCTGGCTAAAGTGTGCGGGAGGTCTCGGAAACTGTTCAAACCTGGCGCGCTGAGTGTCGGCACTTGGAGTCACAGTGTTTTGGGATTGCCTGTCTCAGAGGTCCAGTCCTTCCGTGCTTCTGCAGCTAAGTGTTCGGGCTTCTGGTCTCCTGGGATGTGCACCTCGACCGCGTTGGCTATTCGTCATCAGTATGCCGACGACCCCTCGTATAGACTCCGAAGAGAGCAGCTTGGGGCCCTGGCTAGCATTTGGAAGTCTTTGTCTCTGGGCCTTCGGAGTGGTGTGACTCGGGCGTGGACCTCTGTGCGGGTTAGGCTGCTCTCTCTGGCACCCAACCGTCGCTGGGCGACGGTAAAGGGCCCTATTGCGGCAATGGTGGCTACCCTTTTGGATCTAGGCTGGGGGCCCTTGTCCCCGACAAGATGGAGAACCCCATGATGGTGCTTGATGCTGAGAGATCGGATTTCTTGTGCGCCCTGGGTTCATATGTGAAGCATGCGGTTTCTGTGAAGAACTGGACGGGCGCAAGCAAGCACTATTGCG